TTCCTAACTACAACACGGCCTACTATGTACATGTATAATTGACAAGTGTTTTGCGCACTGAGCATCTAAGAACGACAAATATTTGCACGCATGCGTACTCGATCTGGGTCATTAGACTGTCTCCTGCGGGTTTAGTAATAAACGGTAAGATAGTGTTGACAAAACGAGGATAAAAATGTCGGAATCTATCACACAGATCCGATTTGTATTGTCAGTAGTTCAGTAGGGTTACGATGTACAGAGTGTTCCGTAGGGGGATATTCCAATACGATCAAATGATTGCAGACATTCATTTTTGTTGCGTTAAAAAAACAAGGTAAACCATTTTTTGGGGGGTTCGTGAATTTCATAAGACAGTGGCGGATCCAGAGACTTATCGGGGGGGGGGGTTCCTGAAGCCCAAATAACCCCTCTGGATCCGCCACTGTAAGACGACATATGAATCAATTTGTTTGGGGTTTGTGTATTTTATAGGGCGACATGTGAAGCCGTGCATTGTATAGGGCGACATGTAAATCGATAGATTTGGGGGGGGTTGTATTTTATAGGGCGACATGTGAATCGATTTGTTTGGGGTTTGTGTATTTTATAGGGCGGCATGTGACTCGATATATTTGGGGTTTGTGTATTTTATAGGGCGACATGTGAAGCCGTGTATTTTATAGGGCGACATGTGAAGCCGTGTATTTTATAGGGCGACATATGAAGCGATATATTTGGGGTTTGTATATTTTATATGGCGACATGTAAATCGATATATTTGGGGTTTGTATATTTTATAGGGCGACATGTGAATCGGTTTGTTTGGGGTTTATGTATTTTTTAGGGCTAAACGTGAAGCGATATATTTAAGGTTTGTATATTTTATAGGGCGACAGTGAATCGATATATCTTGGGTTTGTGTATTTTATAGGGCGACATGTACGTGAAGCGATATATTTGGAGTTTGTGTATCTTATAGGGCGACATGTGAATCGGTTTGTTTGGGGTTTATGTATTTTTTAGGGCTAAACGTGAAGCGATATATTTAAGGTTTGTATATTTTATAGGGCGACAGTGAATCGATATATCTTGGGTTTGTGTATTTTAAGGGCGACATGTGAATTGATATATTTGGGTTTTGTGTATTTTATAGGGCGACATGTGAATCGATATATCTTGGGTTTGTGTATTTTATGGGGCGACATGTAAAGCGATATATCTTGGGTTTGTGTATTTTATAGGGCGACATGTGAAGCGATATATTTGGGGTTTGTGTATTTTATAGGGCGACATGTGAAGCGATATATCTTGGGTTTGTGTATTTTATAGGGCGACATGTGAAGCGATATATTTGGGGTTTGTGTATTTTATAGGGCGACATGTGAAGCCGTGTATTTTATAGGGCGACATATGAAGCGATATATTTGGGGTTTGTGTATTTTATAGGGCGACATGTGAAGCGATATAATTGGGGTTTGTGTATTTTATATGGCGATATGTGAATCGATATATCTGGGGTTTGTGTATTTTATAGGGCGACATGTGAATCGATATATTTGGGGTTTGTATATTTTATAGGGCGACATGTGAATCGATTTGTTTGGGGTTTGTGTATTTTATAGGGCGACATGTGAATTGATTTGTTTAGCGTTTGTGTATTTTATAGGGCGACATGTGAATCGATATATCTTGGGTTTGTGTATTTTATAGGGCAACATGTGAATCGATATATTTGGGGTTTGTGTATTTTATAGGGCGACATGTGAATCGATATATTTGGGGTTTGTATATTTTATAGGGCGACATGTGAATCGATTTGTTTGGGGTTTGTGTATTTTATAGGGCGACATGTGAATTGATTTGTTTAGCGTTTGTGTATTTTATAGGGCGACATGTGAATCGATATATCTTGGGTTTGTGTATTTTATAGGGCGACATGTACGTGAAGCGATATATTTGGGGTTTGTGCATCTTATAGGGCGACATGTGAATCGATTTGTTTGGGGTTTGTGTATTTTTTAGGGCTAAACATGAAGCGATATATTTAGGGTTTGTATATTTTATAGGGCGACAGTGAATCGATATATCTTGGGTTTGTGTATTTTATAGGGCGACATGTGAATCGATATATTTGGGGTTTGTATATTTTATAGGGCGACATGTGAATCGATATATTTGGGGTTTGTATATTTTATAGGGCGACATGTGAATCGATATATTTGGGGTTTGTATATTTTATAGAGCGACATGTGAATCGATTTGTTTGGGGTTGTAATTTTAGGGGGCCACGTGTGAATCGATATATCTTGAGTTTGTGTATTTTATAGGGCGACATGTGAAGCGATATAATTGTGGTTTGTGTATTTTATATGGCGATATGTGAATCGATATATCTGGGGTTTGTGTATTTTATAGGGCGACATGTGAATCGATATATTTGGGGTTTGTATATTTTATAGGGCGACATGTGAATCGATTTGTTTGGGGTTTGTGTATTTTATAGGGCGACATGTGAATTGATTTGTTAAGCGTTTGTGTATTTTATAGGGCGACATGTGAATCGATATATCTTGGGTTTGTGTATTTTATAGGGCGACATGTGAATTGATATATTTGGGGTTTANCATGTGAAGCGATTTGTTTGGGGTTTGTGCATTTAATAGGGCGACATGTGAATCGATTTGTTTGGGGTTGTAATTTTAGGGGGCCACGTGTGAATCGATATATCTTGAGTTTGTGTATTTTATAGGGCGACATGTGAATCAATATATTTGGGGATTGTGTATTTTATAGGGCGACATGTGAATCGATTTGTTTGGGGTTTGTGTATTTTATAGGGCGACATGTAAAGCCGTGTATTTTATATGGCGACATGTGAATCGATTTGGTTGGGGTTTGTGTATTTTATAGGGCGACATGTAAAGCCGTGTATTTTATATGGCGACATGTGAATCGATTTGTTTGGGGTTTGTGTATTTTATAGGGCGACATGTGAAGCGATATATTTGGGGTTTGTGTATTTCATAGGGCGACATGTGAATCGATATATCTTGGGTTTGTGTATTTTATAGGGCGACATGTGAAGCAATTTGTTTGGGGTCTGTGCATTTTATAGGGCGACATGTAAATCGATTTGTTTGGGGTTGTAATTTTAGGGGGCCACATGTGAATCGATATATCTTGGGTTTGTTTATTTTATAGGGCGACATGTGAATCAATATATTTGGGGTTTGTGTATTTTATAGGGCGACATGTGAATCGATTTGTTTGGGGTTTGTGTATTTTATAGGGCGACATGTAAAGCCGTGTATTTTATATGGCGACATGTGAATCGACTTGTTTGGAGTTAGTATATTTTATAGGGTGACATGTGAAGCGATATATTTGGGGTTCGTGTATTTCATATGGCGACATGTGAATCGATATACATGTATTTGGGGTTTGTGTATTTTATAGGGCGACATGTGAATCGATTTGTTTGGGGTTTGTGCATTGTATAGGGCGACATATGAATCGATTTGTTTGGGATTGTAAATTTTAGGGGGCGACATATGAATCGATTTGTTTGGGGTTTGTGTATATTAAAGGGCGACATGTGAAGCACTGTATTTGGTGGTTGTGTATTTTAGAAGGCGAGATGTGAATCGATTTGTTTAAGGTTTGTGTATTTTATACGGCGACATGGGAAGCCGTGTATTTTATAGGGCGACATGTGAAGCGCTATATTTTGGGGTTGTGTAATTTAGAGGGCGACATGTGAATCGATTTGTTTAAGGGTTGTGTATGTTATAGGGCGACATGTGAATCGATTTGTTTGAGGGTTGTATACATAATAGAGAGCGACATGTGAATCGATTTGTTTGAAGTTTTTTTCATTTGTTGAGAGGTTGTGTATTAAAGAGGGCGACATGTAATTTCCTTGGAGTTTGCTTTCGTTGTAGGGCGACGTTTGAAGCCATTCGTTGTGGGGTAGAGTGGGGGATTACTAGACGAGGATACAGGGGTTTAGGGTTATGTCAGTAGGGTTGTGGTAGGAGAGACAGAATGCAGCCACACCTACTAATCACCCTACCTCGTTTTTAACTTAACCCAAGCTTCGTGTTTACTATCCGTTAAATTTAACATTTAACGCTTTTACATGTATGTGTATCCTCTTCAGTAAATGCAGTCCAACATATAGTGTAGGATGTATGACACATTTGAACTCTTCCAATTAAAATGTTGGAATAATTCATTATGAAATTTTAGGGGTGAATCATTCGAAAAGAAGTTCCGTACGAATACACTTGTCAACCATAATTTGTGAATGTTTTAAATTTGTCAATGAATTTATGACCTATTTGAAAGGGTTCCTGGTAGCATACAACCTTAACACAAACGTAAATTTTTTTTTAATAAGCACTTACCAATATTAAATACAGATTAAACCGAACCAATAGGTAGTCCGCTTCATGCGATGGTTTTGATTTTAAATTCAGTTTATCAGATGTGCTTGCAAAATATGTCATTTTGGTATATTTTTAAACCATGAACAACTGCTTTCACAAAGCAATAAATAAACATATACATGCATATTATGTACGTATATAGCAATTTAGCTTGCGACGCAGACAGGCTCTGTAGTTTCTGTATTGAGTGTCCAGGGGTTACGCTCACTTTCGCTCTCTGCACATCTCTGTCGATAGCGAAAGTGAGCGTAACCCCGTGATATCGAGGATGTGATTGAGAAGACATGGTGAAACAAGATTGGGAAGAAAAAACATGTAAAAATCAGTCATTCAATCATTCGTGTGTGATGAAGATCGATTTCGAGACAGCTAGGTATTTTATAAGACGTTACGTTGATATTCCTGTCAGGTAACTGATGAAAGCTATAAAATCATAAACAAAATGGTACTAAGGAAAGCGAGAAACCTAAACCATTTCTGACCACAGTGGTCAGTTTCACTATAATATTCGTGTAAGAGCGCGTCGATATGGACATCACAACATCAAACTGACTGTAATACGAGACTTACCATTGAACCATTGCCTCTCAGACCGGGAGATCGATAGACCAGTACAACAGCATAGCTCAGACATCATCCTTGGCCGTACCCTTCTCAAACTACCAGGAGAAACATCTACCCATAAATAGGCATCCACCCCGTCTAGAGAGCCAACACCAGTCGAGTTCACCCGAAGGAGCCATTTTATGGAACCTTTGTCTTTGATGTTTATCGATTTTCTTGCTGCGCACGCGTATTAGATTCCTTTCCAACGGTATCGATTAGTTTCCGTCAGTAGCTGTTGGCATGGTAAAAGCCGTGCTATTGATAATTCCTTTTCGAGTTGTTGCCCTTTGATTTCGCGCTGAATGCTGATTGTAACTTTTAAATCAAAAGGAATGATTAACTCTAGGCAATATATAATTTAGGTACAAGTTAGTCCAGTTTATCTGCATAAAGTTTCCTTTATTGTCTTTCAAACGTTTGAGAGATATTTATACATGAAAGTTATAATGGCATGGATTAATGGACATTCACTTTCGCCTTCCCCGCTAGGCGCATATCGATATCGATGGTATTTCTGATATCACGGTAACAAGACTGACAGAAATACACTGACATGGCCCTTTAAGGCTTCATTTGGATTTGTGTCGCTTTAAGCGAGGTTTTATCTTTTTGTATTAGGCCATTTTAAGAGCAGAAATCTTATTCGATGCTTAGACGGTTGTTTCAATTGGGCACTTTGTTTAATTATAGAAGTTTAACAACATTTAAAAGGATTATAAATCGGCACGAGATATCCTTTATACCGAATACGTAGTACCGATTTTCGGCAGGAATGCTTTGGTTTACTTTTATGTACGAAACAGTTAAATTTCATAAAATATTTTTAAACCACATACACATTTAAATACTGTGATCATACACAATAAATACAGACACTGCATGTTTATTGGCTAACATGGCAGCTACGCACCTGCTGAGACAGCTGTAGAGTGGTAAACATCGTTCGAGTGATCTCCCCTTAGTGTGAGAGGGTCTGCCAAGTGATTGGTCTAACACACTCACTAGATTAAAACAACTCAAACTGATGGAGATTTTAAAAAAAAACTGTCCATGGTTTTTCGATATTGTTGTTACTTGGTGTGATACAATCATTGATCGACCGATTCCGTTTTCTTCAAAATAAATTAAAACTGAAGATTTAAAACAGAAACCTGAATTTTACTTTTAAAATTCTTGAACATGAGTTACAGCCGGTAAAACAACACAATAGAGTTCTATTTGTTTGCATAATTCGAGTTTTTGTCTTATGTATTACCGTTGTAGTTCTGGCAAAGAAATGCAAAACCAGAGATGGTTCAATAATCGGAAGCGAGATGGTTCAAACAATTAAAGATCTATTTATAGAAACATCGGGTTTACAATATCATTGTAGCATGTGTGACACGTGTGCTGATTCAAACCAATAGACGTGAGTGAATTACAATAAAATATTGTAATATACAGGCCGTCGGTCGTTGTTTTTTCTCCGGGTTGTCCGGCTTACCTCCACCATCAAATCCTGGCACGTCTTTAAATGACCATAGCTGTTAATGGGACGTAAAACACAAACAAACCAAACCATTATTTCTAGCATCTATCCTACGTCAAGTTAGACGTAATTAAGTTACATCTCCTGTATTATGAGCATGTATAATGGTGTGTCCCCGAGAAACATCATTGGTTAAATGACACATTGTTTCTATTCATAATTTTGTAAAGTTGTATTATTTCATTTCTTTTCCCCCGAAGTTTTAAAGGGATACCATTCTGTCTTTTTAAATATTTCAAAGCTAGCTAGCTTGGTAATTTCATTGACAAAGCGCGTCGTTTCAAGTGAAAAAAGATGCTAGAATTTAAGTTTTGACAATTAACATGTCGGCCCAGTTAACATCATCTTCGCTAGCCAAGAGTTCGCTTTGTGTACACTCAAATAAGTGGAGTATATACGAAGCGAACACTTGGCTAGCGAATATGAGTTAACATCTCAAAGTATCATAGGCAAAAAAGTGTTATCATTGTGGTGGGTTCAGTAATGATTTCAGTAATATATGTAAACAAGGAAAAGGGTGACACCTAACATGGATCCCTGAGTATTTATTCCAGCGTTCACTTCAGCCGAGTCAGAGACTTCCATTACTGCTAACTATGGAAGGGGATTACCGCCATAAGTATAGTTGTTCAAACTAGTTTTTTTCCTAATTCACTATTCTTACTCTATGTACACTTGTATTATTTCCCTCGTTGAGAAGCGTCTTTGTTTTATGCTATGCTACTTTTTATCCCGTGCTATGTTAGTTTTACCGACTGTGTTTTCGTGTTAGTTTCGAATTTACTCCATTCTGGATTTAATCAACCGATTCTACGTAAACTTGAATCCATTTTGAGACTATAAATACTAAAAGTTCGGAACTGAACTTTACGATGGAGCGCCACTTGTCGTCGTAATGAGGAACTAAAATTAGTTCTAGAGTTTACATATAATAATGGCGGTGATCCCATTGCATAGCTTTCGATGCTTTATGTCCTGTCGAACGCCTTGCTTAAAAAATATCCAATTTCTTCACCACAGTCAAGGACTTGATCTATAGCACGAATTTTACTCAGTAGTTTACCGAATAGTAGTCAAACCTTAAACCTAGTTGTGTTTGGAATCAAAAGGGAATGGTCAAGGAAGCAATTGTAAGAAAAACGATGAGAAACAATTTTCAAACGGCTCTCTGATACAACTTTAGAACCGATAAGAGAGACATGGAACGTACCCTTAGCAAAGAATGGTCACATTGTTTTTTTGTAAACTGGGGACACACTGGATTTCTTACTATCCACAAAAGCAAAGAGATTTAATAAGGGCATTATTGAAAAACTTTCTAGGTACTTAACAAATTATCTTTATCTAATAAATGACAAAATATTTAAGCTGGACCTGTCGCTTTGGGGCACTCTAAGGTAAGTTATTTTCCTTTGAAGATCTCAGTTATTTTAGATGTTCGATAGACTGGCCCCTGTCTCTGAAATATTGAATCATTTAAAAAAATAAAAAAAATAAAAAATAAAAAAAAAAATAAAAAAAAAAATGATCACCTGGATGTCTGATTCTAAACTAGGGGGAGATACGCTAGTAGTAAAATGCAGTTAAGAAAGTCTTCATACAAACTTAGGGGCTGGTAGCCAGTCTAGTTGTTCGATTGAGTTGGTGTTTTGACATCAGCACTATCTAAATTTGAAAACAATTATGTAAAACCGAAGTTTACATTTATATTTAAGGAATACAAAACCTGTGCTCATGCCTTGACGAACATGCAGTTTGATTACCATAGGTAGAGATCAGCGTGGACGTCGAAGGCACGGACAAAGGGAAGTGTGGAAAACAGCTCCTCCCTTCCATAACATTGTCTGAACCATTGGTAGGACGTATGTTGTCATCTGTTGTCTATCTCTGACAGAATCATACGAGGTACCAACCAATTCCTCTTTATAAGGAGTTCTGTCATATTCAGAGGCCCGGGAACAACGAATTTCCTAGCTTCTGGAAGGTGAGCCATTCCCGCAAGATGATCAATCTTTTCACTACGTTTTAGTACGAGACGACGTTATAGGCCTTCTCACGTAGCTCATGTAAATCATGTCCTGTCCTGTCCTGTCCTGTCCCTGTCCTGTCCTGCCCGATGCATGGCAAATTACAGGCTGTCCAGAGCACTAGATTTAGTAGAAAACACATTTGGTATATTGGTTCACCGGTTCTGATGTCTCCTCAATTCCGTCTTTGCGTATTGCAGAGTTATCTTCTCTTGTGAGCAGGTATTGATTGTTACGTTATTGGTTTGTGTGAGAAAATCACGTCGTTTTCTCAAAAATTGATGACGTTTCTCTCACAAATAAATGACGTAACAATCAATCCCTGCTCACAAGAGCAGATAACTCTGCAATACGAAAAGACGGAATACAATGTAGCAACACTTGCATTGAGAGGAAAGCATCGTGATGGCTGTTGTGGGACACACAATCTCCTGCCAATGGCATGCTTACGTCAGGCGGCTGGACAGATGATGAACAGCGAAGATGATTTACATCATGGTACCTTGTCGAATGAAGAAACTGTTTGGGAATTGCAAATGCAGAGCCCATACATGTCTGTCTATGTGGCCAATATCCAGAGGAACTACCTCTAGTATAACAAAGTCCCCAATAGGTAAGATAAAATGGCAGGACGCAATCATCTAAGTTTAACGTTTAAAGTTAACGCGAATAAAGCAAAAAGAAGAGTCATCGCAACAATCTCTATCGAGTTTTCCAATGATGGAAGATTACTATGATTAAGTGTAGCAGATTTTAATTGTCATGAGATCACGATAGCCGTCTAGCTTTGCGCTAGGGTGAATTCCCCTTTAGCTTAGTGGTAGAGCTTCCGACAAGGATGTCTAGGATCGCGAATCCAATCCCCGGTGGAAGCATTCTACTCTCTTTTCAGGGGATTCATTGGATACGGACATCCTTACAGAGTTGTTTTCAATTTTTACATAGACCCTAGTATCTTGTTTCATGGATATACCATGCAGTAAACGTGTCCTCTCTCCTCCCTGTCAAATAGCTTCACACGATGAATCAATCACAAACAATTATACACTGATGCCCGAAAACTGGAGAAATATTATTATAAATAAAAAAAAATCGTATCTTAATGTATTTCTTCGATATCTGGAGAAATGTGTAGAACATGCTTCGTCCAAAACAATTTTAATAGTTGCAATGTCCACACTTAAGCTCTTAATATGTTTTAACATGTTTGCAATGAAAGTTCTCTGGAAAGGTGCAGAGGTGCAGACATGGACAAATCTGTAATAAAGTAATAAAGTTAAATGCATAACTGTAATGTGCTATTGAAGGTAAATGAAGATTAGGTGAGTTATTGTGACGCTTCGGCATAGGTTTTTTCTGAGTTTTGATTAAGAACGGCAAATTCTGTAGCGGACATGCTTTATAACTTCTTGGAATATAATATCACCATAGACTCAACCTATGACTAGCTAGGATTGATGTAATCACAGGAAGCAGAACTGCTAGTACTGAAGATTGATGTAGTTACAGAAAGCAGAACAGCTAGCACTGAAGATTGATGTAGCTACAGAAAGCAGAACTGCTAGTACTGAAGATTGGTGTAGTTACAGGAAGCAGAACTGCTTGTACTGAAG